CTTGAAAGCTGCCTTGGCCTCCATGCAAGAGGTAGGAAGACAGGGCATAAAGTACTGTCATGTAAAGTACTCTTTCACCCCTTGTAGTGGAGGAAACTTGGCAGAAGAGAGAACAAGTCAAGTTTTCCAACAAAAAGGGCTGCTCAAGATGTAGAAGCCTTACGACACATTTTTATCTGGCTTAGACCAGTTTTACTCTCTACTACTTACAGCTCTGTGCCGAGATGATTCTGAACTACTAATGTAGCTGTTCGTGGATGAAATAGCAAATTCCTGGCCTCTGGCACATCAGCCCAGCCTAGCCCGGGTCCCGTAATTACAGAGGGGCTGCATTCTGCAAGTGTGCAGGGGCCTGGGCTCAGCAGAACAGAACACAAATATGGTTGAGACTGTAGTTCCAGAACCTAGTGCTGGGTGGCCCTGCAGCTCAGGTTCTCAAGAGGGCGAATGCCACCCCTGTTTACATAGCCAGAAGTGTGGCTTCTAGATCGAGAGAGGTATTACTACCATTCTACACGACTCTGGTGCGCCCGCAACTGGAGTACTCTGCTCAGTTTTGGGCCCCTCGTTACAGGAAGGATATAGCCAGGTTGAAGTCAGTGCAGCATAGGGCCACAAGGTTGGTGGCCAGTTTGCAGGGGATACCATATGAGGCGAGACTGAGGGAACTGGGTCTCTTAAGCCTGGAGGAGACTCAGGGGGGATCTGTTGGCGACATACAGGTACATGAGAGGGTGTCACACAGAGATGGGTAGAAACCTGTTCTCCCCTGCAGAGGAAGGCAGGACGCGCTCCAATGGAGCAAAGCTCAGGGAACCCAGGTTCCATTTAGATGCCAGGAAGCACTTCCTGACAGTTAGGACCCCGAGGGTATGGAATGGGCTTCCACATGAGGTGGTTGAGGCCCCACTGGTGAGAGTGTTCAAAGATAGGCTAGACATGCACACAGTGAGGATGCCGAGAGCAGAGCTGGCTGGAGCTGGGAGTCAGACTAGATGGCCTTGGAGGCCCCTTCTGACTCACTCTATGTTCTCATGGCTCCTCAGGGTAGGACTGGCAAATAACTCTTCCTTTCCTACCAGTGCACTCAAATGCCTCTTTTATGCAACCTGTGGGTCTCCTCTTCAGAGCGCCCGCCCCCCACCCCGGTTATTGAGAATGGCATTTCAGGCGAGGGTCAGACTGCAGGGCTTGTGGAATCTTGCTTACTAAAATCCCAAAATCATCCAACTGCAAAGGGCACATCCACATACAAGGAAGACCAGGTCCAAGGTTTGATACCAGAAGTGAGCTCAGCCTTTCCACAGAAAACTCCCTTCCTGCTTACCCCAGCATTCATTTCAGCAGCATGACCAGGAAGGGAGGAACATGCTGCTGATATAAAGCTGAGAACACTTCTCCATTCAAACCTGGCAGAGCTCCACCAATACTCCAGATCCACCACCTGCCCACCCTGTACCAGGCCCTATTTCCAGCCGTCCCTGTTCATGACATGCTGCTTCTGCCAGCCAGGGAGAACACATGCAGCACTTCACAAGACTTAAGTTCCCATCCCCAAGCTGGAAGCATCGGGACAGCCGTGAGACTTGCGGCATCACCACAGTCACCCACCTGCACCAGGCTGAGCTGCCCCCATCCCTGGGCATTTTGAAGGATGACTGACATCACGTATGTGAAGCACCGTTTGAATGCTCATGTTCCACACCAGACTCAGTGACTCAAAGTGTAGCTCTAATAGTGTATCTAGCATCGTGTGATCTCTTCGAGCCCCAAACTAACAGCAATCCATCTTGGCTTAAAGGGATCAACCCTCCATGAATGTGAGATCCTAAAGAAGTCTTGTTTGCTCTTATATGTCCATATGCTGTTTCTGGCTGTATAAAGGAGGCTAGGGAGAAGTGGGAGAAAAAACACACAAGCAAGCAAGCACGGTTCATTTATTTTATTTTATTAGGGTTTTAAAAAGGTATCTATTTCTCCAGCAGGGTAAGTCACATTTGAGGATTGCAGGAGTTCAGTTTCAGACAAAGGAAGGGGGGGGGGGAAATCAGCTTTGCATTACTTCACTATAGCTCAAGTGTTTTAATATTCAAATTGAATTTTAGTAATATGCAAGCCAAGCTCAGCTTCAATGCAGGATACACTATATGTAAAATCTGCCCCACATTCATGTTAAGTTTGGTTTACATGGGGAAAGATGAGACAAGTATCACCAGAAGGCATTCAACGGAGTCAGACAAAAATGCTGAACTGCAACAGACTATTCTCCCGCCCTATTCCAAAGCACTAGACATGTTGGTTTTACAACAAATAGCCTTGTTCTTCCCTTGGGTAACCCATGGAAATCCGCCACATCTGAGCATTAAAGAAACCTGCTACACACCTGTTTCCCAGATGAGACCATCATGCAATCAGATGAATTTTGGCAGGAGGCTGAACACTCTGACAGTAAATATGGGGGTTAAAAAAGCAGTGAAATAAAATTTGTTGAAGACTTACAAGCACACACACTATTAGTGCAGCCGGGTTATCAAAGCCTGTTGTACTCCTTACCAGAAGAAAAAAATGGCACCAAAAATATAAAAATGCTTGACAAATTTTGTTCTGAGGAGCTAGACTGAAAGCAAACAGAGGGATTATATTCTATTCAGGAGGGACTGGGGGAGAAAAACGCCACACATCAAGATCTACATGTTTCCTTCTCCTTGAATTAAACAATGGAGCAAACTTACCCCATTCTGCCTAGCATTATGAGCTGGACCCCATTTAACTACTCTGGAGTAAGCATCCCTCCGAACCTCTGATCAACCCGCACCCTCCCCCCAGTGCTTAGTGAAGTTCCAGAAAACCATATTCTACTACATCTGTACAGCTATGAGCTAAATCGGGGAGGGCGGGGTTGGGGGTACAGCAGAGGCAGAAGTCACTACACCGCCATTCGTCCATCCCATGTGCGCTGTTCTGCCCACCACTGGGGTTTCTTGGATAAGACAGCATCCTGTTATGCTTCGGACGCACCACTTGCCTGGCAAAGCACGTATTCCTGTGTGCTAAGCTCTTAAGCCACTACTGCACACACCAGCCTTAAGTGCAAGTCCTCAAGAAATAAATGCTAGCGCTAGAACAGGTGTGAGGAGACTACTAATGCCACCCAGAAGCCCTACGGGGCTTTTGCTAGGTCAGCAGTACTTAGCCAGCTGCACCTATCCTGGCACAGTGGGAGAGACCAAGCAATGCACCTCGAGGTTTGGCTTGTTTCAAAATATCTCACACAGACGTACAAACTGCTCACTTCTACCACTGTAAAAAGCTCTGCAAAGCAAGAAAAGCAGCATGCTCTTGCCACGCATGTTCTTGCAACCAGACTGCCAAAGCTGGATGAACCTGTGGCAATTCAGATCAATCTTTGCAAGAGTGACGGAGACCCTGCAGACATTTACACTAAGAGAAAAACACACTCCACTGCTACCTGCAATGCCACACCAGCCCACCCTGTACACTGCTGCACCCCCCAATCCGGTCATTTCCCTGCAGCTGGCAGCATCCCAAACCAAGAACTTCTCTCCCCACCCCTTAGGCTAAGTGGAAGAACCACCGAAAGTCAGGGAGAACAACTGAAGTACTGTGCATAGATGGCCTGCACTGGGCTCCTGCTGCTTCTCTAGTCAGGCCAAGCTGTGCTCAAACTCCATGTGCAATCATCAAAAACTAGTTATAATCTCTGAAGACACATTAAGAAGTAGAGGAGGTGTCAGTCTGTCCACCAGCACTTGATTAAAGCAGGAAAAATCTCAGGAACCAGGCAAGGCTGGGAACTTCTGCACCAAGTACTGTCTCTGACTTCTTTTGATGCAGGCAGAGATATGTAGCCCTTATGTCCCACTGTCCTGCATGCCCCACTTCTCCAAGGCTCATTCAGCCAACAGGTGCATCATATCCAACTCTGAGATAGAGAGAATACAGTACATTCAAAAGATTGCTTTACTAAGAGCACCACAGGTGGCCTGCTCAGTAGAACTTTGCCATTTCTTCTTATCATTCAATTCCAGGCCATCTTAATCCCAACTTCAGTTTTGGACCAGTTTGCCATTGTGGCATCTTGCACTGATGCCACTCGAGATGCATACTGTCAGGCCTTCCCAAGCAAAGTTGCTCTCAAGGGACTCTGAAGGCCCTGCTTCTTGCCTCACTAGTGCAGAAAACCATACCAGATGCAAGAGGTGGTTCAGCTGACATTTTTTAAAGCAGCTCAGAAGTCACACCCCATCATGGAAAGATGCAACATCCAATACCCTTATAAAAACTGCTCCTACTCACTTCCCCTTCACTTGTTCCACACAGATTACTTCTTTCACAGGAAGTGAACAGTACGTACCTGTGGTATCTAAAACATGGGTTTTCCAGTTACAGAACATGTCCCTCTCTGGCAATCATGTAGAATTCATACAAAGGGAATACGCAAATTCTAATAGGCAATCAACTAAAAATCTTCCAATTAAAGGACCTTGTGGGCCGGGGGGGGGGGGGGGGAGGGGGCCTATTTCATAAAAAAAAAAAAAAAAAAAAAAAAAAAAAAAAAAAAACAAAAAACAAAAACAAAAAAAAGTGGGGGGAGGGGGGGGGGGGGGGGGGGGGGGGGGGGGGGGAGACTGGGCCAGTTACTTCAGAAGTTAACACACACAAAGCAAACCCAATGAAGAACCTTTCAGTACTGATTCCGTATCCATTGTATAACCATCATAGAACCTCTTCACATTACCACACAGCCACCATCAACTGTTCTGGAAACTTAAAAAAGGGTACAGGCCAATACTTATAACTCGCACACTTACTATATAGAAATTATGTGCTCAGAAGAGCTTTAAAAAGAAAAAAATATATATTCAAAAGGAAGCCTGCAGGTCTTGCATGCCAAGTCAGGGTTTTGACACTGTTGTCAAAGTGGCAATACTGTTGAAGCAAATATTTAAACACGGCAAGAAATAAAGGACAAAAGAGCATTGCTATAACCAAATAAACGTCTGATATTTCCTTTTTCCCTTTAAGAATACAAGTAAGGTCACTTTTAGCCTTGGAACGGATGCATGTTCTGCCTGCGATGAGCTTGCTAGCTACTACTATGCAACATTGGAAGTCCTCTGCTAAAGAATCTAATCTGAAGAAAGCTGTAGGTACAAGAAGAATCTACTGTCAGTATGTAAGCTTTCCTTTATGGCAATTATTGATTTTGTATGACTCAGGATGAGAGAACTTCAGGTTTGTTTTCCCAGCAGGATGCTGAGCAACAAGTGGCTTTCAAGCAGCATGGCGGGGGGCAGGGAGGAGAAGAGGGCCAAAAGGTTCTGCCATTTAGATCATACGATTGCGTTTATGGGTCGGGGAGTCCGTAATGCCATCACCACACTGGGCTGAGGTACGCTTTCTAGTTCCACCATTGTCCAAGTGGAGTGCCATTTCTTCGGATATGAAAGTGTTCAAGTCAACATCATGGAGTCCATTTCTCCTTCGACTACCATTGGAGCCGCTGCTCACATGAGTGGGTGAGCCCGGGGTACTTGAGCGAACACTTATACTAGCCATTGCACCACTAAGACCTAAAGGAGGAAAAGAAAGCAGCAATTAGGAAAAGGCAGCAGTTAAGACAATGTGTTCAGAGACAGGAAGAGCCAGCAACAACCCCCCCCCCCCCCCCCCCGTTGCCCCAGCCACCTTAACGTCCATCAGCAAGTTGCTCTGAATCTTTCTGAATGCTGGTTAGTCCACAAGTGAAGCTTCAGGTGTTCCCCTTGCAGAGGACTGCTTGAACACTGCCTGGGTCAGAAACTACAAACCAGACAAGCCAATGCACAGACCCAAATAGCATGTAATGGCAGCAATTTCAAGGTAGCTTAACCCAAGTATAAGCTAAGTCCACTTTCTGTTTAACAACCCAGAAACACCATTCCTGTTTTTTTCCTGTGGGTTTACTAGTTAAGCCAGAGTTAACCCAACAACAAACCATCTGGCTTAATTCTGAATTGCTTCCAGGTTTCCTATCATGAAATCAGAAACTCATTGCATGCAGTGCTCATTCTCAACAATGCCTGCGTTAAATCGGAATGGAATTACTGCCATCAAGGGCCAACTAAGCCACCATGTTTCCATTTATAACTTCCGACTGTGGGGCTTTTAGGTGATTCATGACTTTTGAGCCTTTCCAGAGGGCAGTTAGGGGATAGAAGAGGGTTCACTATGTTTCCTCCATACCAATATTTCAGAACTAAGGAAAAAGCATGCAAGACAAGACTTTTTCCTCAAGGGTCTAATTAAGAAGAGACCCTTCTCACCACAAGATCAATGCATGTGCCTCTTACATGGGCGTGTTTCGCTTCAGCTGGCATCTCTCGGAGGGCATCCTCCCCAGGACACTTTTTGTTTTCCCATTTAGAGTGCCAGTCAGGCAACACTGGGAGACCAGCCAAGCTCTTTGTTGCCTTGGTGACCCATGATGTTATGCAAGGGACTGGGAATTTCAAGTATTTCTCCAGCTCTTGAGTTCTGGTCACTTGTTTAAGCCTGCTGTTTATTTTTATATACCAACTTTGCAGGAATATCTGAGGTGCAAAAAGGCAGACTTGCTACCTTTTTCTGGCATAATGCAATGTTCACATTAACTGGGAGAATGCTAGTGACGGATGCAATGTCTGATTCTGGACGATGGATCATGTGGATGACTAGGCTTAAACTGCAGCAGAGAATGGTGTTCACACAGTGGTCCTGCTCTCTGGGCACAAATGTGCACCACGGCTGCGGCACACTTGCAGGGGCCTCCTTAAAGGAGTCTTCTCTGGGAAACAGTTGCCAATTCCTGACCAGACAAGAGAAGTTTAACAAAGTGGCAAAACTAAAACTAGAACATCCTTTTTCTTCCAAATCATGGTGTACATCTCCAAGATGAATGAAGAAGAGAAGCTCAGAATTCAATTGACGGGCCAGCACAGAATGATCCCTGACCCTTTTGGGCTAGTGGGCACATTTGGAATTTTGAGAGAATGCTGGGGCCACTCTCATAAAACAACTGCTATTTAGGGGTGGAATGGGGAGTGTTTCTATTTCACAATAAAATTGTCATAGCAGGCATAATTCATCTCTGAATACTAATTTCCCAAAAGGCAAACTGTGGAGGCAGAAGGAAAAATAATATGCCTGAGAACCTAACTAGGCAGAGGTACGGTCTCAGCTCCAAATCACAAAGCCACTCTTCTAAGTCCACAGTTCCATGCTCTCACACCCAAAAGCAGGCAAAATACATATACCCTCTGCAAGAAAACAAGCCAGTTTAGATACAAACCCACAGCCTTGCTGCCCAGACAACCCACAGGAAAGAAATTCCCCTCTTCCTCCCTGCCATCTCCTACATCCATCTTCACAAGATGCTATCCCCTAGCCTTCCAGGATGCTACCAATCATCTTCTGCCTGCAATTGTTTTCATTGGTAGTTGGGCTTCTTCCTGTTTTGCAGGAAACAGATGATGCATGAGGCCAGTTTTGCAATACCGCATGACGTTTTAAAAGTCATGCATTCAAGGAGCTTGTAGGGTAGGGGATCATTTTGTGCTGGCCCGTCAATTGAATTCTGAGCTTCTCTTCTTCATTCATCTTGGAGATGTAAACCATGATGGGAGACAGCTGCAGGCAGCACAATGAACATCCAAGAGGGAAGGAACCCTAACAAGACCTTTCCTTTAGTTTTGCAGAAGCAAGTGGAATGAAGTGCCCATTTAAAGAACATGGAGGTAGCCTGAGGCAGTTACTTGCACAACCAACTGGCTAGGCGGTCTGTGTGGCCTCCAAGAAATGCAGAGCCACTGTGCTACAGCTACTTGGTGCTAAAGTCTCATCCACCATATTATCTAATTTCTGGCAAACATGCATCACCTGTGCCGGAATTAGGTTCTGTGCAGGGCCTGTCAATGTTCTGGGAACTGAAGATGAAAGTCTGGAGAGCGGAGTCAGTCACCCTCTTGCCACAGACCTGGAAGGGACTGTGTTTCACTAATAACAGAATACTGTCGATAGGATACTTTCTTACCTGTTGCACAAAGTTGCATGTTCAGCCAGAAAGTGAAGGGGGAAACCAATCAGAGTGAGGCCAAGTTAGGAGCCAAGCTGCCTCCCTCACTGGCATACCACTTGAGTCCTATCAGTGCCATCACTGGCATCCTTCAAGAGCCCGTGACTGAACCCGATGCATTTGGATGTGGACTCGTATCAGCAAGCACCAGAGGCAGGAGTCCAGCAATCCTCAGCAAGTTATTCCAGTATTCTCCCCAGACCACAAGAGGTGGCAAGAGCCAACAGTGAAGTGTGCCCACCCCTTGCTCGATTCCGTTTTAGAACTTAAGCAGCAAAGTTAGAGCTTAGTAAAACTGATGAAGTACCTCAGCCACAGAGTCTGCCACATCATCTTAAACCTCAGATTAAAGCAATCTTTGTGAAGAGAGATTCATATCTACTCTGAACATCAAACATGCAATACAGTATTAGCACAGCCTGAACAGTGCAGCCCAAGATTTATGCAAATACTCCAGTGTTGGTTTACCTTTCTATCAATTGCAGACAAATGCAGAGTGATTGCAATCAGGATGGGGTGCCACAGTTTAAGGTTGGAAATGATGAACCTAAGCACCAAGCATCAAGTGAAGGAAGATATCTGAGTATATCAAAGGAAGCACAATCATCCATGGCACAGCCCCAGCATGGCTTTGAAGCCATGTCCAAACCAGGCCAAGTACACCTTTGAGGGGCACATACTCCATAAGAACATGTAACAAGAAGAAATGCCATTATGGCCAAGAAAGAGCTTCAAGCACAAATCAGAGGTGCCTAAACCCCTGAGCTATTTAAACAATTCAGCTGACCAAGTGACTAGAAGGCAAGTGATCAAACAGATTCAGGTCTGCATCTATAGCACAAAAGTCTAGGTGCAACAGAATTCAGTATTTTCAGTGTTTTAATTTAATATAGCCAAATGATAAGACCCTGCCATTTAACAAGAACTACAGTGCATGAATAAATGCAGTATTTGACACCAAATATTTCATTCCTAACCAACTACTGGGTGTTCTTAAAATACCACCCATTAAAATTTAGCCTTCCTTTTAAAAGTCCAATTTACTCTGAGGTAGTTATTGCATGTGTTCCTATTTGCATCATACTCTTACAGAAAGATAGCCAGATCACATTGAAGCAAACTTCCTCCCAGAAAAGGGGTGGCTGTGTGCATCAGAAGTAACAATTCTGACTAGCTGGTTTAATTACTCTGCTTCAACCTGTTAGCGTTTTAACTAACAGAGCAGTTCTTCAAAGTTATTACTAACTGATCCTGGAGAGCACAAGTTTTGACAATATTGTCTCAAAAAAACCAGCGGAACACCTGGTCCAAGAACCCTGGGCTGAATTTGCCTATCTGAATTGCTGATTTGTCAACAAGCACTGAAGGCCCTGACAACACTTGTGTGATGACAGTGGAGCTGTTCTGGCTCCCATCTAACACGATAAAGTCACTGTGTGTCAACAGTATCAGATTTAGCAGGACCAGCGAGTCAGCAGTCAAGCTAACAAACTAAAGCTCTGCTATCGACAACCCACTAGTGGCATCGGAATTCCAGAAGGTGCACTGCCCCGTCCTATGGCAGGAACCCCATGGGCACACCAGACACATCAGCCGTGAGGGGCTGCGTACAAGTGCCTCTGCTACCATCTTCTCAGCGAGGTGCTGCGGATGCCTGTGGTTTTCTACTTCCAGCTCAGGCAGGCACAAGTAAGGGTTGCCCTTAACCTGCCACGAGGAAGGGAGGGAGGTATGAAAAAATTTAGAGGAGCCCCTGTGAGGGGCTTTTCTTCACTTTTTCAGATGAAAAAATCAGGAATTTGAAAGAACACTGAAACACTCTTACAGAATTTGTGGAACTTTTTTCATGTTTCAATCACTTTTTCAGTATCTAAATATTTAAGATTCATAAGGGCAGTTTTCCATGACTTCAAAACTTCCTGCATTTTTGCATTTCTACCTACAACTTAAACTTCAGCCACACTCAATATGACAAACATGCCTCTTGCCTCACCTCCTAATGTGGAAATACTTCCAAGTCATGTTTAAGTTAGGGAAAGAATAGTGCCTTTCCCTTCACAAGTTCTTAAGCCCTCACAAGAATGCATGCAAGGAATACCAGCAATGTCTCCGCTGCAGCTCTGGGCCTCAGTTAGAGCCAACACACACACACAAACAAGGACTACCTCCCAAATGCAACAGTCAAAAAATTACCCCTGCTGAAAAGTAGATTCCTAAAGTGTGGCGGAAGAGTGTGCATGCAACATGTTCCACACAGGAAACTAGCAAGCATGTTTCCTTGGAAGTCTGCTGCCATTATGTGTTTTCACAATTATCTGGCAAGTTTACATATTATTCAATCCCTTGGCAAGTTTGCCTATTCAATAAAGCCAACAGCTTAAAATTCCATGTCACCCTCTGAACTTGCTGGTCTTGAATGCAACGAAGGAATTCTAAGAGGCCACTGCTTCTATCTTTCTCCCCTGTGAAAGATCTACCTTCATTTGTGAATTGGTCAGCAGAACCTTCCCCCTCTACCCTTCAGTCCACAGGAATTTCAAAGGAGGGGGTCTTTGTACTGGATGTAAAAGACCAATTCAAACTGAAACCTAGTAGCTGAAGCATTAGGCTGGGGGGGTCAAGGTTTAACTCCCTATGCAGCCATGAAACTCAGTGTGTGACTTTGGGCCAGTCACAGACTTTCAGCCTTTACCTCTCTACTTCATGAGCTGTCATGAAGCACAGAGGTAAAGGCTAAAACAGAGAGGAGAAAGAGAAATATGTGAGTTGTCTTGGGCTCCTTGTAGGAAAAAAAAGATGGGGATAAAAATGAAACAAATATTTTGGCAAAAGACTTAACCACAGTGAGATATCCTAGAAAGATACAGGTGGTAGTACTGGAGACGCTGGCGCTGGGATCTCTAATACTAACTGCACTGCATTCAAATCAAGTCAAGAATGCCAATATTCCTTAGCCTAATACATGTTCCTAGAACTCCTCTCAGACTCACCACTTGTGAATTAAGACAAGATTCTGAAACCAGCAAATCTGCTTCCAAAGTGGGTTGTCAAACTATTCCAAATGGAACGCATGGTGCTTCTAGCAACATATTAAAGGTTTGCAGTCTGTTGTGACGCAGGAACAGGGTCAGCATATCCTGGAAGGAACTTGAGTAATGCATTTACCAAAGGGGATTTGTATCACTGAGGTTTTCAACAGAATGGGTGCTCCATTTCCTGGCTCAAACTGAGAACCACCACTGATGTCAAGCTGCCGCAGCTGACCTAGTACCATTCACATCATGGACTATGTTCCTGAAGTGGAGATTCAGACACATGTTCTGGAAAATTCTGTCCACCCGATATAAACTTTCAGTAGAAAGACTGTGGCCATCCACATGATACTGGACTGTAGCCTCCATCAGCTCTACCCAAAGATAGCCGATGAGGCAGAAGGATGGCAGAGGCCAGCCACCCCTAAGCACTCTCTTTAACATTTCAAAAATGGCCTCCTGAAGGTTGAGACTGTGGCTGCCTCTGCAGTTCATTTAAATTCCCCACATAACATTTTAGAAGCACTTCTCAAGTAGTCTGAGCACATGTGACTCTCAAAACGGCACATAGCTGTATAACCAAATCCCTAGTTTGTTTATTTTATTTATTTTTCGATTTATATCCTGCCTTTTTCCTACAAAGGGCTCAAGGCAGCTTACATCATTCTCCTCCTCCATCCTATCCCCAGAACAACAACCCTGTGAGGTAGGTTGGGCTGAGAGTCTGTGACTGGCCCAAAGTCACCCAGCTGGCTCCATGGCTGAGCGGGGACTAGATGAGTCCCAGTCCCATGCACTTAACCACTGCACCACACTGGCTCTCACCCACACTGGCTACTTCCCACAGACTTCCTTTCCGTGCAGCATCCATGTCATTGACATGCTGCAAATTATTTCTAATGGCCTCTTTTGGTGAAGCCTTCAGTGTGGAAACCTGTCGATCCTAAAGAAAATTTCAAAAACATCCATCATACAATGGCCACAACTAACAAATCCAGCAATGCGACTGCAAATGCCATTATAATGAGCCATTCAAATGGACCACTCCTTCCATGCCCAATGAGACAGAGATTCACCTGCTTAGATTGTTAAAATGTGAGTATGTGAGATACTGTGAAATTCAGCCTGAGAACAAATCTGCTCAGGAATACACACACATACACACACTAGCAGCTAGTAAATATTACCTTTTGCCAATTATCCTTTATTAATTTTATTTCTAATACTTTTTACCATTGAATATACTAAAAATCCTCCACAGTTCAGATTAGTTGTGTGACATACTTACAGAAAATTTCACCAACTCTAAATCCTTATAGACAAAATACTATCATCTATGTAAAATAGTTAAGTATCAGCATGCTTGTAGAAACTTCAAGGTTTGCAGAAATATAGAAAAATGTATTTGGAGAAAACTTTGAGGAGGAAATATCCAACTGCTCTCTCAATTATCACCTCATGGGCCTGGTATCTCTCCAGTTATTGCTTCCAGTGATAGAGGCGAAAAAATACCCCAAGTAACCTTAACTGTCCCCATGATCTGCCCATATTCCAGAAAGCATTGTAGCAGGAACAACGTGATTCATGGGAAGCCTACAATCACACCCAGAACTCAAAACCAGGCGCACAATTCTGTGGCAGGTTTTATTAGCACTTCCAGTATTAAACAGAACTGGCTGTTCCTACAGTTTTCAGTTCCTATTATATGGAATTTTCACCTGGATATGAAGGTCTAGAGCATGGGTCCTCAAACTACAGTCTGCGGGCCGGAACCAGCCCGCCATGCTCATTTATCTGGCCCGTCTCAAAGATTTTGGACTCCTCACGCCTGCCTTCCATGGGCATGCACTCACCGTCGCCTCACCACGCAGGCAGGGAGGCGGTGGCTTGCTCACTCGGAGATGGTTTTGGACTCATTGGGAGATCTTGGAGCGAGCGAGTCACCACCCACATGCCCTCCACCTCCTTTCAACTGGCCCCCTGTTAAAGTTTGAGGACCCCTGGCCTAGAGCTATGACTCTCTTATTCACAGAATTCTGGCCGGGGCAGCTTTCCATTCCAGACTGGGAGTTCAGGTTGCTGCTGCAAACTTGTCATTACTAAAGCTCAAGCAGCAAGATAAACCTGCAAAACCTGAGACCAAAACAACATCATCATGTTCTGAGTCATGCCACTGGTGTATACCTACCTAGTCCAATACAGGAAACTCTGACTGGCAGCAATTTTCAGTGAGCCCTAATTCAGAGATCTTTTAACTGGAGGTGCAATGGGCTAAACCTAATGACTGCAAAAAAGGTACTCTACTGCTGAGCTTAAAGTTGCATTCCCTGAATACAACAGATTTAAACATATGCCCCAACACGTACAAAACAGAAAACCTGATGGGGGGAAAAGAATAACCTCAGCAACTTTGACTATTTTAGTGGAAAACAAATATTCATATCTGTTTAATGAACATTTCTTGCAACCATATTTTATTTTGCTACTGGCCTAGAAGCAACAGCCTGCTGTCTGTTACAGGGGAAGGAAGGGAGGCCTCTGCATGAAATATGCCATTCTATACGAAACTGCAAGTGCATGTTGAGTCAGAGTTTTAAGTTAACAACAGAAGGAAAATTATATTCAAGTGCAATTCAGGCTATTCTCTTCTCACTTTGGTATGTATTAACCAACTGACTCAGAATCTAGAACCAATAACACACCAGCAATTACGAAAGAAACCACTAAGGTAGGTTTAGAGTCAGCACTACACAAGCAGGTACTAAAAGCATGCTTCCAATTCAAGAAGAGGGGATGGGGTAGAAGAGATGCTATCTGAAATGATCACATCTTAAGTATGCAAGCCAGGTTACACAATACAAAGTATTCTGCAGTGCAACTGAACTTTAAAAGCAAGTTTATCAGAACTGTGCCCCTTCATACCGAAGGATCAAGTTCTGAAAAGCATTGCACCAAAACCTGAGCTGCTGGGTCCAGTTCTGGACATTTTAAATGGGTACCCCAGCTTCTACCTTTCAGACATTAAGATCTGTGCAACTTTTTCAAACTGGAATGCTTCAGTGAACTAGCTAAATACTATAAACTGGTAAGATTAAGAGGTAGTACACCCGAGTCCTACCTGGATGGATATCATTTGGGGGCCCAAATTAAACAACTCTGAACTTTCTAGAGAAGAGCATTCCTAGTGCTTCTACACTGCTGTGAACTGCCCAGAGCCTATGGGAATGGGGTGGTATATACAATAAAATAATACTTGTAAAAGGCCTGTGTGCATTCAGAGGCACACCTTGAAACATTGGAACACACTCTAACATGGTCTCTACACCCTTCCCAAAATTGCAATTTAGAGAATATAAAGGGTTCCAAATATTCTAGATGGTCACTTGACTTACAAAATTAAGCCTACCAATTCATGGGACCCTCCCAGGTTTTCCATTTCAGTCTCGCTTAGCCTGCACTTCCAATATGGGCAATGTAATAGTTTCATAATGAGGCACTCAAGCAAGGAAAAAAATTAAGTATTTAAGAAAAAGCCGAGATTGGCATTTGAGAGGGAAGTAGCTTCTTCCCCCCACCCCTCTTCTTGTTTGTGCTTTCAAACCATATTCATGCACAAAAGGCTTTCAACCCCACTGCAGATTCAAAATTAGAAGATGAAAATTTGGAAAGCCAAAATGGCTTTCAAACCCACTGCAGATTCCAAATTCATGCAAGCTTAATCATAGAGAATCATTCACCTCCTTAACAAACAGAATATGGACAAGAGCCTCATCTAAGGCTCTGCAAGATACCAGTCCCAAAACCAAGTGAAATCTACATAGCTAGAGCAATTTTCCCCATAAGTTACACCTTCAAGATTTCATCCCAAACTAGCATGGCATTTACTCCTGTCTGAGTACCCTATAGCAAAGGAAAACAGCTGAATGCCTGGCTTAAATCAAAGCAGAATATCAGAAAGGCTGTCATGGCTATTAACAGAGACGTGCACATTTAGACACCCATTCCCCAGACAGACAGACAGACAGACAGACAGACAGACAGACAGGACTATTACCATGGAGAGCTATGGCTTCTCGGAAGGGCTGCAAGTCTGTCTCTACAGAGGAGCTAGTTTCTGTGGAAGTAGCTCGGTTAGGGGATACTACAGTCAGTCTTGGGGGAGCTCTAGAGTTTCGTGGAGGAGGAGCCTTCCCACACAGGAAACTGATTAAGTCTTCTCTGCGAATAGTTCTTCTGCGCTTTTTAACCCAAGCCAACACATCCTTATTACGACGCTGATAGCCAATATGGATTCCTACATCGAAACTCCGCTGATGGGCATCCACACTTTCTGGAAGAAAAGACATGACAGTATTAGTGGCTGATAGTCACGGGTGCCAAGCATGCAATCACATTTTATCCTGACAAAGAATTCTTGCCACATTGCAAGGTGATTGCTTCACACTGTTACAGAAGACAATGTGGAAAGCAAACCACACGCTATTACAGGGTTGCACACAAACCTTGTCACAGAGCAACATAAGCCAGTTTGTGCAACAATGTCTTTTCCCACATTCCTCCAGACAGAAAATACACCTAGTAACATTTAAAGTAAGAAAAGCATGACTTCTACAAGGCAGTAATGCTCATTAACTTGACGCAATGGAAGAATGGGCACTTTCAAAAGCTGCATCACCCTAGGAGTTCTGCAACATCCTGGAACAGAGCTGGATTTTGACATGAGACTCAAGAAGCATGCACAAACGTTTAGTAAGCCACAAAAAGGTGGCCACCTATACTGGCGTTTGGCATGCTTCTCATGCAGGAAGAGCAAGTCATTAAATTCTGGCAGAAGTGAAATCCATGAAATCTTGAAATAGAGAATGTTTACATAGAGATTCAAGCATCCTACCAAAAACTTGTCTCATTTTTACAGCTACTTCTCAAGATATGCCACTCATTTCATTATAGAAAGGGAAGTTAGGCAGAGAGGAAAAGGACTTGACTTGCCTAGACAAGGAGGGGAATCCAGCACTGACTGCCTCATAAGGCAAATTATCTATAGTTCCATTTTTGCTCCTATATCTGTCACACCAATGGGCCAGTTCACACATTCATGCTTGAAGGACCACAGCAACCCAGCATGTATGAGTAACGTCTCCATATCACTTAGGGTCAAACCTGTCTTTCAATTGTCAATTCACATATTCAGCTGTGAAAAATGAATGTTGAGTTGCCATGTCATATAACCAGACCTTGGGAAGTCAGGCTTTCCAAACATGATTTCAGTGACTAATTTCCAGTAGAATGCTAGGGAGTTTCAGCACTGCAAGTTCGAGTAAAACTAGTAGGTACTGTAGTTTCTCTGGTAATTTAAAATAACCATAAAATTTGTTTTGGTGGTTAACTATACCTGCTCCATCCAAGAAATTTTAACCATTAACAGCAAGAAAAGAATGACAAAAAAATCAGGTAAGGTGAACTATATGGAAAGCAGTACTTCTGACAATTGGGTTTTTAAAAAGGGGGTTTCCACACTGGAAATCCCTGAAATATGCTTGCTTCTCAAGACATATAATAAATTGCACCAGACTGTGCACACACACGTATAAAACTCGTCAGAGAGCTCTAGAACAGCTATTGAATTTTTACAATATATATGTACATTACAACAGCAATTCCACTAATATTCTCTAGAGGAAAATCTGCAAGAGTCTGCAGTTCAGAAAGTCCAGAGTTTTAGCAATAGGTTACCAAGATCTGTGACTGTTTACACGGAGCATACAATGTTCTGTACTTGGCTGTCATGTTTCTGCTGCTGACCCAGCAGCTTATAATAGGGCACTACAAGCAGATAAAACATGTTTGGACAAAAGGGAGGAGAGTTGGAAGCCTCTCCATTCATGATCACTAAAAGTGGAAAAAACCTTCAAACCCCAACTGTTTTTGCAGTGTGGAGCAGCTGGCTTCTCAGTTTGTTTCAAACTGACAAGAAAAGACTTGTACCAATTAAACCAGCAAAAAAATTGTCACTGTACGCTGTGCAGCTTGGCTATATGATTTGTTTATGGCCAGTGTTAACTGCACACTGAAAGCCCAGACAGAAATTTATTTTAAATTTCAGTCATCACCTCTCCACCCCACTGCCAATGGTCTGAAAATGAGACTCCTGAGGTGCATGGACAATACTGCAAAGGTGCATCCCATCTGCTACTCACCCACACCTGTTCCTATTTCCTCAAAAAAAACACGCTTATTTTTTTATTTTATTATCAGTTCTGTTTGCTACTTTCAACTTAAAGACAGGATATGGATCTTTCAAATCACCACCATCACCTTTTCAGTCAAGACAGTTCCAACTCACTTCCTCATTCATGTCTACCCCAGTAGCTGGGGGAGGGTAGCCAGGTCAAGGGAAATCCCAGGTGCAGGGAAGCTGGACAGCAAGAGGAGTTGGTAGGAGACAGCAAGAGAAGCAAGTGCGGATCATTTAGTCACTTGTAGAATTTTTTGTGGGGGAGATGCAGATTCATTTTACCTGACAACACACCACCATGCACTTCATTAACACTCATTAATGCAAATTCCTTTCGCAAGTAACTACAAGACCTTGAGCATCATAGAATCTATGCCTGTTTTACCTACTATGGAATGGATCAACCTTCTTTTTAAAAAATTCATATAGTTAGAGATATGTGCATAGGTTTATATGCTATCTAAACTGAGACAGCAAAACGTAAGGATGAATGGAAGCAGGGGGAAATGTGTAAACTAAGTATATTACACATACTTTGACTTAATTATAATAAGGTACAGGGCAGAGCAGAACCTTTCAGCCCAAGGGCCAAGTACCATTTCAGAGAAGCTCTTAGGACCTAAAAGGCAGAAGCAAAACAACATTATATTTTGGCTCAAAATTCCTACTGTTAGTAACCATTTCTTAGGAAAGGCATTTAATCAATTTAGAATGGGGAAAATTGCACAAAGGTCAGGAAACCAAGCAATCAGTGGCTTGGGGAAGGGAGTTAGGCTAAGAGAAGGGAAATTAACCCTCTGGGAGTCCCAGGCTGCTAGATTTGGCCCCAGGATGCAGCTGTAGACTAAGGAGCAGCAAGGGAAAATGGACACCAAGCAGGAGACTTGGAAGGGTCAGGCTGCAGGACTGGGTAAGTGAACTTCACCGAAAGCAATGCGTTAAGCTACAAGCCCAGCAAAATAAAGAGGGGCAAGGCCATGAAGAATTCTGGAAGGAAGGGCAAAAATACTCGTTCAGGATCTGAGGGTGGACAGGAACACCACGGAAGAACTTAAGCAACTGGCACCCAGAATCAGCACATCAGGGTCAATACCGCCCAGACAGCAGAGTGCCTGAGAGCTGTGAATGGACAAAGGCATGGCAACGTGAGACGGGACAGCAGAAGACTGAAGCAGTCAAGGAGAGAAGTAGGGCATGGGATGAATTTATGGCAACAAGACAGAAGAAGCACCACAAAATGGCATGATCCTGCCACAAATTGAACTTGGGGGATGAAAGGGAAGAGACAAAGAGAACACCAAGACTTCAGTCCTGATCAATAAGGTGGATGATAATGGTGTTAATGATCAAGGGGAACGAATGAGATGAGGACTTAGGAGAAAATATTAAAGGCATAATATTGGACATATAAAGCTGGCTACAGTGATAAAGCATCCACTCAAAAGTATCTCCGCAGCAGCTGGCAATATGGGATTGGACAGAAAACAAAGATCTGAGACAGAGAAGCAGGTGCTGAATGCCATGGGAAGTGTCTAGGTTACCAAGGACAAAGCATGTACAAAATCAAGCAGAAAATTCTGAGGGACCCCAACAGAGAGGAAACGATGATCCTGCAAGAGAAATTGAATGTAGGGAACCGGCTGAGGTTATAATCACAGAGCCTAGGGCATAAATGGTATCAAGCAGGAGGCAGTGATCAAGTATATCAAAGGTAACAGAAAGGTGAAGGAGGACCAAATAAGAGGGCTCTGGATTCAGCAATAAAGCCAGTGAATTTTCATGGGAACAGCTGCATTACAGTTAGGGGAGAAAGGCCAGAACTGGAGGTCAAAAACAAAGATGAATGAAAGATTGCTGAGACACTGGAAGCAGACAGCATACTTCAGGAGTTTGGAGAGATAAAGGGGAAGAAATTAGGCAGTAAATGGGGACAGAAAATGAGTCAAAGAAGACAGGAGAAAGAGTGGCATGTTTGAATGCTGGAAGGAAGGAGATGGGGGAGATTCACAGGATAAAGGTGATTATGGATACTGGTAAGGAAAATTGAAACTAGAAAATGGGAGAGGTTACACAGATAATAGAATACTTAATTCATCAAATATTAAGGAGGGAAGGGGTAGAAGAGACAGGCAGAAGAACAGGGAAGTAGAGCAAATCAAAGAGCACAGAACAAGTAGACAGCATTGAAGGAAACAGCAAAACCTCGCACAGAAATTGATGCGTGAAGACACCTTAACAAGGCATCCTAACACTTTCAATTCCTCAAGCTGGTGCTTAGACTGGACGTTAGAAGAAAAAGGGCAGGTGTTGGATTTATAGTGGATGAATGGCTAACTTATGACTGTACCAACTTTATTTTTCAATACCATATATTTATGCTTACTGATATTATATACAGAAAAGTCATCCTATTGGGATGAATGCTTTACAGCAGAAAATCTTAACATGTTGCCCATTAGGTACATTGGACTATAATTCCTTCCCATCAGCCTCAGACATCATGGCCAACCATCAGTGATAAGAATTGTTGCCTTACACAAATACAGGGCACCAGAAGAGAGAAGGCTACTTTAAAGAAAAATCCATAGTAACAAAGATGTGCCCCAGTCTGAACAGAAGCAAAGATTTTGGCCAATTATTCAAACAAAGACAAAGGTTTTCACAGATCTGCACTGTTACATAAGACTATTATCTCTCTTAAGGATGTTTCCATAAGCCAGTAATTGCCTGAAAAGCAAAAGCCTATTTCTCCACTCTTAGTTTTACATTCCAGCTCTTTGTGCTGGACATCAATATAACAAGCAGCTTTTTAACAACTTAAACAACTCTTAAGGATCAAATGATGCGAAATCTGCAGACTCTGTCCAATTCCATTAACTGTTCCAGTTACCAGAAAATTATCTGTGCTGTATGCACCCACCCATGGTGCAACCTCAGCTGTCTGATTTGAAAGAAAGCTAGCTAGCTTCCAGAATATAGACACTCAAGAGTTGATACCTCATTCCGCATTCCTAATGACAAGGAAACCTTATGCTCCTTACGCCAGCCAAGTAGTCACATGTCATTTCAAACCAAGAAACTGAAAGCAAGCCTTC